TTCCATCCATCCATCCATCCATCCATCCATCCATCCATCCATCCATCCATCATCCATCCATCCACCTACCCACCCACCCATCCACCCATCCATCCATCCATCCATCCATCCATCCATCCATCCATCCACCTACCCACCCACCCATCCATCCATTCACCCACCCGTCCGTCCATCCATCCATCCATCCATCCGTCCATCCATCCACCCATCATCCAAAAAAATTCTGTGTCCTTTGAAGTGCTCTGGGACCTCTACTGTGAGTGAGACTCAGCCCTTCTCTTCCTGAAGTTTGTCACAGAAAGTGACAGATCCAACCAGAAGTAGCCCTCACCGTCCCATAGATCCTGATCCTGACAGTGGCCTTTGGGACTCCCACATGAAGTTGGTGTCTCCATCCTCCTGAATTGACTGCCTGCTGACTAGTCCTTGCTTGTCCCCAGTGGTATGACTTGGATTCGCTAGAGCAGTTTCCCTTCCCCCTGGACTATGATAAAAACATCAGCCCGTTCCAGAAGCTGCTTATTCTGCGTTGTTTCCGTGTCGATCGGGTGTATCGGGCTGTGACGGACTACGTAACTGTGACAATGGGAGAGAAGTGAGTCCTTTGTGTTTGTTTGGCCTCTTCTTGCCCCCCACCACCTGGACTCGCAGGAGTCCATAGGTGGCCAGCTCCCAAGGAGGCTGTCTTAGCCCTGCCTGGTCCGTTAGTCATTCTGGTATACCACCAGCCGTTGGAATGTAACATGATCTATGTATGGCATTTCACATTCTTAGTGGCCACGTTAAAAAAGGTATAGACAAGTGCAATTCACTTGGTAGAGTAAGGTAGTGTTTCAACATGTAACCGGCATGCACATAATTGGTGCTACCTTTCCCATTCTTTTCTGATGTAATAGCCTCACATTCTGGGTGAAGACAAGCCACCTACCAGGTGCTCAGTGGTCCCGGTGTGTGGTGACTGCCATACAAACAATGAAGCTCTGGTGTCAAGCACAAAACCAGACGGAAGGCATAGGCTACAAACTCAAATATTCCTCCTGGTGGGCAACAGGCTGGGTGGGGTGGGGTGAGGCCGGGTCCCAATCTACGGGGGTGTATCTGCCCCTCCACGCCTGATGACCAGTGGTGCCAGGAAACAGTGTGAGATTTTACAAGACATCTTCTGTTACGTGTTCACTTAAACATGTAAAATATTTTAGAAATTCATTAAAAATTACTGTTTAATAAAAAAAATTTTAAAGTTTTAAAAATAATTTTTAAAATCTGTAGATGTGGGATACACGGGATAGGTCTGCCATGTCTGGAGACTGTCAGTGTGGGACAGCTGTGTTTCGTGCCCAGGGGACGTCCACCTGGAAGGCCAGTGAGCCAGGGGTCAAAGTAACCCCACCACACATGTCTGGAGCTGGGCTAAGGGGCCCAGAGAGGCCCTGTCATGCAGGAGTTGGCCAGCTCGTAAGGGAGACAGGGGAGGTAAAATCTGATTTGGACACCAGGGAGACTGCAGGCACTGGGCAGAGGGCTGGGCACCCAGCAGCCTGGCTGACCCATGCCCACAGCTGCTTTCTTCTTCAGGTACGTGCAGCCCCCCATGATCAGCTTTGAAGCCATCTTTGAGCAGAGTACCCCCAACTCGCCCATCGTGTTCATCCTGAGCCCCGGCTCCGACCCTGCCAGCGACCTTATGAAACTGGCTGAGAGGAGCGGTTTTGGAGGGAATCGCCTCAAGTTCCTTGCCATGGGTCAAGGACAAGAAAAGGTGAGGTTCTGGCCTCTGTTAGGATCCACCTGACCTCCGGTGCTACACTTAGAGTCTGACCCTGTGTGTATACGCTGGACACATTGCCCACCGACGGAGCAGGGAGCCAATGCTGACACAGTAGTTGTATTGTTTATGTCAGAGTTCAAGAGCTAAACTGAGGCTTCACAACCTTGCATGCTGTCATGATCCACTGGTCACCAGGCCCTTCCGCCTGCGGTCACTGTGATTGTCATTTCTGCACTTGTCCTCAACAGCAGCCCCATGGGGGATCAGACTATTGCTCCCCAGCTGGTTGGCCCAGGAGGTGGGGTGAGGGTAAGTGAGGCCAGGCCATGCGGCCTGGACCTGGAGCAATGCTGGCACATCTCGCTCCCCCATAGCCTCTCAGCACCACCCAGCGCACCTGTCAGAACTGGTCACCCCGAATAGGGCGTGGTGGGATAGGGGCAGGGAAAGTCAGCAGAGGACAGTGTGGTAGTCAAACAGGTAGGCTCTGGACCAGATGGCGGGAGCCTCCTCCACCTCTGGGAGCAATGAAATGAAGACAGGGGGCCTGGGGCCTGGACTGTCCAGGAGGCGAGGCGAGCCTCGCGAGGGCAGAACAGGCAGCATAGAAGCCTGAACCCAGAACCCAGGTTCATTGCAGCACTTGTGTAAATTATGAGTCATTTCCAACACAGACTTTACTTAAGGAGTTTGTTTTGACTTTGAATTGCTGTGAATCTTCATTATTCACAGATTCGAATTTACAGATTTGCCTGCTCCCTTAAATGTGCTTTGTAACTCCAAAATGAATGCTGGAGACTCCTTCAGGGTCATCTGCAGATAGTTAGTCTCGCGACGTGCCCGTTCCCAGCTGAGGTTGCACCAGGGGAAGCTCTGCTCTCTCGTCCAGTGCTCAGACTACCAATGGTGTCTGTATAGAGTCATGATTTACATTGCCATGTTTTGGTTGATTTTCCGGTTTTAAAAGTTGAATGCTGAGGTATTGGCTGGTGTCTCTTGCCACGTGCCTTATGGAGAAGGGATGTGTCTTGGGTAAGCTGTGTTCAGGCTTGAGTTATTGGCCTACTGGCTATTCGTGAACTGACATCTCCTGAATAAGGTATCTTTAAATAGAAACACGGAGTCCTGGTGCGGCGCTGTGGGTTAATGCGCTGGAATGCAAAGCTGTATGAACTGCAAGGTTGGCAGTTCAAGCTCACCAGCTGCTCCTAGGAAACCCTATCCGTTCTCTGTGGATTGGAACTGACTTGACAGCACTTCACAACAACAACAACAAACAGAAACACATCAAACAAGGTTATACATTAGTGGGGTGAGGCTCGCAGAAACCAACCCCTGTAGCTTCCTGGGAGCCGTGGCCCCAAGTTCATGAAATCAGTGTTGGCAGCGACTTGATGGAACACATATACCATGAATCACAAGCACCACCTGGGCACAGGACACGAGACACTGCGAGTGTTTTCCTTGCTTGGGGCCTTTGAAGATCTTCAGATGACCCGGGAAGCAGCTGATCTCCTGTAGTGCTGCTTCGTGGGTGGTCAGGGTGTGGGTCTGACTGTGCTAGAGAAGGTGGGGGGCTCTTGGGGCAGAGCGAGGTCAGAGAGGTACTGTCCACTCCCCCCTTTTCTGGCTGACACCGGTAACCGGGTCTGTGAAGGTCCCTGTAGCTCCGGGAACTTTCCAGCCCCCACAGGTGGGCTATCACTGCTCTGTGGGCTCGGGGCAGCTCTCCAGGTTGGCATGGCTTTGGGATGCCCACTCTGCCCCTCTCCCTTGCCATTGGCACAGGTGGCGCTGCAGCTCCTGGAGATGGCAGTGGCCCGGGGGCAGTGGCTGATGTTGCAGAACTGCCACCTTCTGGTCACGTGGCTGAAGGATCTGGAGAAGTCGCTGGAGAGGATCACCAAGCCTCACCCAGACTTCCGCCTGTGGCTGACCACGGACCCCACCAAGGGTTTCCCCATCGGGATTCTGCAGAAGTCCCTAAAGGTCTGGCATGTGTGTGTTTAGGGGTAACATTTAGGGTTCACTTGAAACCTCAGGCTACCTGTACTTGTTTCCTGTGTCTGACGCAACCAATGACCACAAACTGGTGACTTTAAACTAAAGGAATGTGTCCTCACACAATCTGGGAGCCACCACGCTGAGGTCCAGGGGAGGCTCCTCAGGAGGCTCTGTCCTGTGCCTTTCTCCCAGGCCCTGGTGGTGGCCAGCAAGCCTCCGCCTTCCTGGGTGTGTAGCTGTTTCACTCCAATGTCTGTCTTCACTCCGTCTTTCCTCTTGGTCTGTGTCTGTGTGCACATTTCCCTTTGCAAATTGGATTTCAGGCCCACCGTACTCCCGTGTGACCACATCTTACCTTGACTACACCCTTATTTCCAAAGAAGACCCCATTCAGAGGTTCTAGGGAGACAGCCCAAGACAGTGCTCCTTCCCAACCCCACTTCTTCCTTTGCCTTTGGAGGTGCTACTGCCCGGAATGGAGTGTTTCTAATTGCCATGCATGTCGCTAGCATTTTGCATGGATGGAGTCCTGGTGTGGCACTGTAGGATAAGCACAGGACCACAAGGTGGGTTAGGATCACAATGTCAGCGGATCAGACTCACCAGCTGTTCCTCGGATATGCAAGGTCACTATGAGTCCGAACTGACTGGATAGCAGTTAACAGCAACAATAACCTAACATTGTCTAGGTTAACACTCATGTATTTGAAATTCATGAATCTTCCTCTTGTATTTCTAACTGCAGGCCCACTGTTATGGTTGGACTGTGTACACCCTAACATCTATGCCTGCAGCTGTGCTCCCATTGTGGGAATAGGTTGTGTTTGTTACGTTCATGAGACAGGATTAGTATCTGGTGAGTTCTAAGTCCATCTCTTTTGAGAGATGGAAGAAATTAAATAAGCAAGCAAGATGAGCAGAGATGGGGAAGGGAGATGCCAAACTGCATGAAGATTTCCAAGTATAAGCGTCTTCCTCCAGAGCTGACAGACAGGGAAAGCCTTCCCAGAGAGCTGGCACTCGGGGTGGGGACTTGTAACCCCCTAAACCCTGAGATAACCCTTTAGTTTGTTAAGGCCCCCACTGTGGTGTTTTTGTTAAGAGCAACACTAGAGAAGAGAACTGAGACCCCACCACAGTTTGTACACCGCCCGTCATTGTGTTGTGTCCAGACGTTTCCTGTGGTTCGCATTCCTCATTGAATTCATTCTTCAGGGATTCTTTTGGAGAAGGTTCTTCATCGGGCTCTCTGGGGCAGGTTCATTGCCAGTTGTTCAGAGAAAGAATAAGAAACCTTCGCCGGCTCACTTGATAAACCAATGTCAAGACTGGGACCAACTCTGGTTCCTCAGCTTCTTCATTTGGGCCCTAAGCAAGAGGACTTTGCTTGAGGAGGGAGGAAAGACAGCTAAGTAAAGATGAAGGAAGAACCAAGACCTCCACTTTATCCACACTCTTCAGAGTATTCTCCTTTCTTCTAACAGGTTGTCACAGAACCACCCAATGGGCTGAAACTCAACATGAGAGCCACTTACTTCAAGATCTCTCACGAGATGCTGGAACAGTGCCCACACCGAGCATTCAAGCCTCTGGTCTACGTGCTGGCCTTTTTCCACGCGGTGGTGCAAGAAAGAAGAAAGTTTGGGAAGATTGGCTGGAACGTGTATTATGACTTCAATGAGTCCGACTTCCAGGTTCAAGTCCATTGCTCCTGCTTCCCCACCCTGTGGAGCTGCTGCTTCAGCAGGCTTCACTCACACCTGCCCTTCCTTCCGCGGTCTAGTCATACGGAGTCGTCCCTGTTCGCAGGTACAGAAGAGTCAGGACGTCAGTGTCTTTGTGGGTGTTAGTGTAACCGAACCTGTTCCTCTTCTCTTAAGGTCTGCATGGAGATTTTGAACACATACTTAACAAAAGCCTTTCAGCAACATGACCCCAGAATCCCATGGGGCAGCCTCAAGTACCTAATTGGAGAGGTAGGAGTGTCTTAGAAACCCTCTGTAGGCTGTGGCCTGTGGCCCTTTCCGTGTTCTCTGGGCTCCTGAGCCGTGTACCCCGCGCAGCCCCCAGCTGTTCTTTTTCAATGTGGGTTCTTCCACGGGATCGCCCCGTGTCTGGACTCAGTGGCCTGGAGCCCACATGGGCCCTCAGCTCCTTCCTCCTGGTCAGTGAGCGTGGAGATCCACCCTGGAGACCATAATGTGCACAGAGCACCAGGGAAGCTCCCCCGGGACCTGAATACTACTCGATTTCAGCATCGCCAAACAGAGTGGCTGCCGGTTCCTGTTGTTTGCTTTTGTCTGTTCCTTATTTTGGGTTCCCAGTACTTCATGAGGACTGCCTGTCCCGTTGGACGTAATCCCTTGGATTTGTGGACGGTACCTTCTTATATATATTGAGTCCCGAGGCCATGTGTATCAGTTGCCAGGCCAGCAGGGGTCTCAGTGGGGGCACATATGATGTTGACCTTGGGCGAGTCCTTTGGACCCCAGAACCTCCAGGTGTACCTGGTTGACTTGGCATTCCTGGCCGGCTCTCACCATTGGTCATTTCAGGTCATGTACGGAGGACGGGCCATTGACAGTTTCGATCGCCGCATCCTAACCATCTACATGGACGAGTATCTGGGAGATTTCATTTTTGATACTTTCCAACCATTCCACTTTTTCTGGAACAAAGAAGTAGATTATAAAATCCCCCCGGGAGATGTAAAGGAAAAATTTGTTGGTGAGAATTTGCAGATATGAAGACTATATGTAAAGTTTCTCTATGTGAGACTACATTTCAATGGTTTGGTTTTCTGTGATTGGCTGGATAGCTTCTTTGACCCCTCTCTGAGTAGACTTGGGGTTTATTAAACTGTATGGATGGCCCAGTGGGTGTCTTCTGGCCTTACTGATCTGAGGGTGAGACTGACTCCACTAGGTCCTCCCCTGGGAGGCCAGAGAGGCCAGGGCAAGTGCATGGAGCCATTTTTATGAAGATCAGCATACAGCTGGATGGGGGTGTGTGTGTATGTAGAATTTCTGTTTTACAAACATATTCCCCACCGAGTCCTGGGACTTAGTCACTTACATTTGGGGGTTTGGAGATAGTAGAGCTCAGAGATGGAGGGCCAGGTCAAGGTGGGACCTCTGTGTGTTCTCCATGGTCTAGAAGCCATTGAAGCGCTTCCCCTCGCCAACACACCTGAAGTGTTTGGTCTCCACTCCAATGCTGAGATTGGATACTACACACAGGCGGCTCGGGACATGTGGACCCACCTGCTGGAGTTGCAGCCTCAGACTGGTAAAGACCCCCCTCCCCAGAGTCATCTGATTTGGGCTTAGTGTTTGCGAGCTCAAGAGCACTGCTGTTTGGTTTGGGTCTTACCGTGTTTCCCTCCTCGCTGATCTTTGCCAAGAGCCAGAAGGCTCAGAGTGCGCCCACCCAACACTTGGCGGCTTTGCTTCCTCTGAAAAGTGTTCTGGTTGTAGGGGAGTCCAGCAGTGGCATCAGCCGCGATGATTACATTGGCCAAGTGGCCAAGGACATCGAAAACAAGATGCCCAAAGTCTTTGACTTGGGCCAGGTCAGGAAGCACCTGGGGATAGGAATCTCCCCGACTTCGGTGGTACTCCTGCAGGAGCTGGAACGCTTCAACAAGCTAGTGACCCGGATGTCCAGGTCTCTGGCTGAACTGCAGAGGGTGAGCAAGCACACCCCACCGTGACCCGGGCGGCCAGGAGGTGGTGCTTCCTTTTCAGGTAGAGCCTTTGTTGACTTTCCTCCATTCTGTCAAGGCCTTGGCTGGAGAAGTGGGAATGAGCAACGAGCTTGATGATGTAGCCAAGTCGCTTTTTATTGGGCAAATCCCGACTATCTGGAGAAAGCTTGCCCCCGATACCCTAAAGACCCTTGGGAACTGGATGGTCTACTTCCTGCACCGGTTCAGCCAGTATACGTCATGGGTGAGTGGCAGCTACAGCCACTACTGGTCCAAGACTCCGCTTGTACTTCCTCAAACATCTGACCTCTGTTCCTTCCATTCCCCAACATTTCTAGAACGGTCTCTGATTGTATCAGCATAGCTGTAGCTTTCTTTTCCTTTTAAAGGCTTTGAAGCATATTATACACACTGTGATGTATTCATTAAAGGGTATATATCTGGGCCGTCGTTCTGTGCAAGTCCAGATACATCCCACTCGTTCTTTTTAGGTGCTTCCATTTGACACATGTTCCAAAGTCTGCCCTCTACTGGTGAACATTTCGATGATTGCTATTGTTAATACAAAAGACCTTCTTGTACATCTGTCTGTGAATACCCATGTGGGTGACATCGTCCCCTGTGGCCAGCAGATCACTCCATTGGTTGGTAGGCACCTCTCTTGTGCTGCAGAAGTAGGACCCTGTCTCCCCACCTTCCCCCCATTGGTAGCAGGTATAGATGTGAGGTCGACCAGGTGTACACACGTAGTTAACAGTCCCTGCGAGTGCTGACGTGTTCAGGGCAACAGGGAGGAACGTGCCGATGGTAGGCCATCAGCTGCTGTGGTGTGTGTTTTGGGTCGAGATGCCGTCAAAAAGGGAGTTGACCTGCCTTCTTGTCCCTTCCAAGGAGCCAGGCCAGTGCAGCTGGTCTTGAGATCACTTGTTCTTGAGCTGCCCTACTCCACTAGGTCCCGTGGAGAAGTTCTAGGTGTCAAAGTCAGTGTGCATTTTGAATTCTGAGAACTCTTGCCAGGTGATTCTCCACAGAGTTCCTGTTCAGGTGACATATGAGAGCCATCGCTTCCGCACCTCTCTGCCACGTTGTGTCGTATCCACATTTTGGGTCGCAGTCTCTGATGGGTGAAAAACCAAACATTTATTCTGATGTGTAGTTCTTCAATCTTGCACTGGTTGTGGTTTCATCCAATGAGAGGCATTTCCTGTGAATGTGTCTCAGATCCTGTGTTGATGTTTACTGAGTTTTTCATTTTTTCATTATTGATTTTGAAGAGCTCTTTGCATAGGAAGGAAATGAGCCCTTTGTGTGCCTGGGTTGCACCTGTCTCCTGTAGCTTGTCACAGATCTTCTTTGTTATATCTGTTTTCCTGTAGAAAGGTTTTCAGTTTTGGCATCCTTTCATTTATCAATCTCTTATTTACAGTGTCTGGGT